AAGTGGCATATCTTTAGAGGATGGAAACATGGGTGTAAGGTTTGTGACGAATGCGATCATCATTCACACCTATATTGCAAAACATGCAAAAAAGTAGTGGATGGAATATATAGGCAATGTGAATGTGACAACTTTCTAAGGAAACCACAAATAATTAAATAACAATAAAGGTTTTTTCATATTGCGATAATTTGTCACGTATAAGGATATTCATTAACGTGTTAAAATAAATTCCGCATGTAAAATTTATCTGTATCACCTTACAAGGCTTATCATTATGCATATTCGTGAGATGGGGTACATGTATAAATTGCCAATTTTGATTTTTTTTTGGAATTAGTACCCTAACGCTAACCAAAGTCGGTCAATTAATTCATGCCATATGTTGTTGGTTGGGAATGTATGCGTGTGCAATGGGAATATCAAGTCCCTTGTGAGCTTTATTTTAACTTGATAACTCGTGATACATGCATTTATATCCTATAGAAATTCAAGTTCATCATGCTTTGTCACCATCGATGGAAATTTGACTTTATCTAATATTTTGAATTTTAGAGAAGAGGTGAAGGAAAATATATAAAAGGGCAATATATTGAAAGTTTAGAACTTTGTTGCTTTCGCTGATAATTTTTTTCACACATTGCATAAATTTATAAAATTTGCTTACTCATGTCTAGCTTAATCACAAAAATCGTAGCATTCTTATTAAAAGAGCCTTTGGACGCAATCTGTTCTGCATCTATTGTTTATTTGACGATGGATAACAACACATTAGGTGCATATAATGATGTTAACGATTTAGCAGAACAAGCAGTAAGTTCAGCATTAGAAACATTAGATGATTCTGATTCTGATTCCGATTCCGATCCCGATCGAAGAGAAAAAGTAGCGAAGATTTTACCACAGGTTAGTGTGGATTAAATTTTCAACGTTTATGCTATTCCTGCAATGATGAGACTACAGCGTATTTTACCAAGTCATTTGGTATGTCGTTGCTGAAGGCTGGGGAATGCCGGCCCGGAAGAGCGATGTGTTCAGGAATTAATTCCTCAAGATGTCGAGGGTTTCTGCTCCCCCCTGGCTGTGCGTGGCTATAACTAAATGACAGTATATTATAGATTGAACTGCCTGATTAAGCACATGTGCAAATATGGCATTGTTTACGGAAAATGTGATCACACAAATCTAACTTTTTATTGATTAATTTGCTGTAGATGGAGAACGGATATAAGAGCATTGTGGGCTTAAAGAAGATGAAGGCGTTGAAGAAAGCAAAAGAATTGGTCATTGACAATGCTCAAGAGGAGATAGAACAGAATTTGAGAGCATTGCAATCAAAACTTGGTGCTTCACAAGAATCAAACTCAGATGCATCTCTCTATAGTGCTCTCAAGAAAGGCCTGGATAATATCGATCCCCTTAGTCTTAAATGGAAGGATCCATTAGCAAGTATGGTTCTTAGTGATGATTCAACTTTAGTAGAGAATTTGAAACCAAGACAGAAACGCACATTTTTGGTAAATATTCTACCCAATCCCGGCTAAATTACTACCGGTATATATGAGAATGTGTAATGATCTTTTATTTGTTGTTAGGCACCGGGCGAGAACATGAAATGTGATATCCCCGCATCTGTTAACAACAAATGTGAACATTTTATAAATAATTTTAATATGCTTGAAGTTTCAGATGAGATTAGAGGTGTCACACATAATTTATCATGGGTAGAAAATGAGAATGAGCTGGAAAAAAGAGTGGAACATATATTGAACACACTGTAAGTGTTTCGTTAAGTTTTTTAACTATACAAATATTTTAAATAACCTCTTAATGTTTTATTTAGTGGAGAAGTGTGGAATAATCCAGCATTTTCGAGTAGTATGGCACGTAGTGAACAAAGTGAGGGCACTTATGTCACAGATGTGGTAATGCCTTTGCTTCGGGCCAGTCTGAGCAGTCTCCCAAATGGTCCTATTTGCTTGAGCTCGGCAGAGCGTCAAAGCTTAGCAAGCAAGACTCGCAAAAATGGACGAATTGGAAAAAAGCCTGACCTTATGGCGTTAATGAAATATGCAGAGAAAACTTTTGAAATTGCTTATGTTGAATGTTCCCGAGTAGTCTGCGCTAAGTCAAAAAAAACTGATGACAGTATGAAACTATGGAGGGAAACATTGGACGGTTTGGCCTATGTTAACGAATCGTGTAGACCAAAAAGTAACCAATTCGGTATTGTGGGGATCCAAGTTGCGGGTGAGGTTATATATCTAAATGTTATGGTAAAAGATGCGAATGGGATTCCAAGATACTTCCATCTTGATCGTGCGGAAATTCCCCTAACTACTGACACCCCATGGCGGATAAAGCCTCTCATACGTTTATTATTAAGATTTCGTGTAAGTTGCATTGATTTTATTTTCTTATATGGATTCTTAACTAATTCTGCCGGTTAATCACGTATGTTTTATGACACAGAATATTATAATTATAAATAAATGTTTATTGATAGAGGCATTAGAACAAGCTTATACACACCCGCCTCGAAATATCCAACCAAGTACTACTGTATCTTCTCCACGTAGAGAAGGAGGGGAACAAAAAAGAACAAGAAAGGTAAGTGGCGTAAATCCTCCTTTGCGTGAAGGTAGGAGTTTAAAGAAAAGAAGGTTTTAGAATATATGTATCCTTTCTGCATTTGTATTTTTTATATCAATAAAGTTGGCCCTGGTGGCTCAATTTCATATAAATAATCAGTTTACTTTTGCATGTGTATTTCGTGAATTTATTTTATTTATTGTTATATATTAACTCGCATATGATCGAGAATTTTTTCACGCAAACAATAGTATAGACGTCATGTATCATGGGCTAGGTCCCGAACATTTGTATTTATTTTTCGCATGTATTAATAAAAAATTTTTATTGGCATTTTTCTGAGACGGCCCGTCCCGGAAATTTTTTGGTATTTTTTAAAACATTGAACAATTCCTTTCATATATAAAATTATTATTGATCATGTCAGTTAACAAAGCTAACCCATCCGAGCTTGAAGTATTGAGACGACGTATCATTGATCTAGAGGCTGAGAATGTTAAGATTATGCTCGAGAAAGCTGAACTTGAAGCTAGAGATGCTGAGCTTAAGGCCAGAATCGAGGAATTAGAAAAAAATAAAGGAGTTACTACTAAACTTGAGTCTGAGAACGCTGAGCTTAAAGCTAGAGTTGCGAAATTGGAGGAGGATTACAGGCAAATGCAGAATGGTAATGTTACCAAGGTAACTAATTCTCCTAACAATTGTTCATCTAACTTAAATTCTGTTACAGAGCAAATATTAGAGATCAAACAGAGTGAGGAAATAAATACTTCACTACCAAAAGAAGCGATACCAGAAGTTTCGCCTCCCAGCTCTAAGTCATCGAAGGAAATGGGGGTAGATGCTTTCTTGGACGAAGTACATAAGAAAAAGGTTAGTGATGATATTAGGCAGAGAAATTGGGAAAAGAAACATCAAGCCCAAGAGTCTCTTCCAATACAACCTAAAGAGAAAACGTCTCACGACCTTAGCTCGGGTATTCATCCATGTAATAGATCGCACAAGAAAAAAGGAATGAATGAACTCAAGCATGAATTATTCAACCTCCTTTCGGAATCAGATATCTCATCTTCTATAAACCATAACGATAATAATATAACTGAAGTTTTTACATGTAAAAAAGTTACCTATGACGGGATTGATGTAGCCTCGCAACATCTAGCTCAGTTATGTGACAAAGCCATTGATGCTGAAGATAGGGCAAATCGAGCTAATCAAGAAGAAATTTTATGTTGGTGTCTCTACTGGAAGGATTTCAGAGATCAGCTTGATGAGATTATCAGAAGTAATGGTGGAAAATTTGGCGAAAAGAAGGCGAGAAGCATACTTTATGATTCTATTACAGAACAGCTTAGTTTGCTTCGCAAACGAAGATCGCAAGAATTGGGACTACAACTTAGGGATGTATCACGGGATAGCTTGCGTAAGAAAACTCAGAGAGCTGAGAAAAACTATAAATTATTCGAAAAAGTGGGATTGGATAAGATCAAGTATATTAATTCTTATAGCGCGAATTCCATTTCAGAGCTTACTGATGCGCAATTTCAAGAGATTATAGATTATGTTATATCTTTGGAAAAGTTGTCTATGGAAGCGGATCATATGACCGAAATTTCTGAGACGGCCCGTCCCGGAAAAATCTTACCCATACCTGAAGAAGATTCATTATCCACACCAACTAAGGCAGAGATCAATGTCGACTATGATGATGTATATTTTGATGAAGAATTTGATTATGATTCCACACCTCGGACAGTGAAAGAAATGAATAAAGAGGTTGCTTCGCAATCAGTTAAGATAGGCGACGACTCAGATTCCGATGAATCAATAGACTCGAACCACCCAATCCACGACATTCTCTTGCGTGAAGAAATTGCTCGATTAGAGCGAATCTCTAATTCTCCAGGTAATTCAGCACCCACGCCTCAAATGACCCCAGCTAAGGCAGATAACTACGATGATGTGTACTTTGATGAAGAGGATTTAAAGGAAGAAGAAGTAGAAACGAACAAAGTTAAGTCGGATAATGAAAATAATTCTGAAGAAGAGATGCCAGATGAATCGGATGACGATGGATATAGTGGATGTGGTGGATATAATGAATATGGTGAATCTGATAGAGGTTATTATTATGATTTAAGTAGCGGGAAAAAAACTTATAAAAATTCTGATTATATAATTAGCGCATATTAATACGCGATACCAGAATCCCAATAGTAGCCGTAAGATCATAGATTAATAAACTTAACAGTCTCTACTAATTAATAATCGCAAATTACATTGTAAAAAATCGTATAAAAATAAAAAATGGCGAGCCCATAGGACCCCCCTTCTTTATTATAAAAATTATTATTGCCGGGATGACAATATACAAATATAAAAAAAAATTTTTAATTTTCTTCTAGCACTACGACGATGTGGATAATATTTTGATCAGGATTCCTACTGAAATGGTCATAGATCCTATCATTTGGATCCATATTTGTAAGGTAGTCCCCAGCGGTAGGAAAAAACCTACGAAGCTGATAACGATTATTTCTTAATCCGGGTGGTAAGCTGGCCTGAATCTGAGTTACTATCGTGCGAACATGGTTTCCATTAAAAACATTAATTCTCTGAAAATAATATGGTCTGTCCAAGACAAGACAATTAAGATCGATGTTAATACGGTCGTTATCACCCATTTTTCGTACCTAAGTACAAAAAAATCATAGTAAGTAAAAATTCGTTTTCATAGTCTCCGTTAAATAAAATAGCAAATTACTTTAAAAATAAATTATATATATGAGCAAAAATAACGCTATTGCTGACTTATCTTACGGGTGGAAACGCGCTTATTTTTATACTTCACGTTCGTTAGATCTAGAGAACCTGCCAGAAAGAAAAATACACGTTTAGTAATTACGTTACCCAAGTCTAATGCCAGTTTTTTCTCCAAACAGCAACTCGCTCGGTCATAAGTTCCAAACACTGATCTATTTTGTCATTTTTTCTGGTAAATTAACCCCCTTAGATTCGACGATCGCTTAAGGTGGGTTTAGATCTGACGATCTGGGAATTCCAAGTTCCTGCAACAT